CAACTTTTTTTCCCTAAAGCGATATAAAAAAAATTATTGCCATTTTAAAAAATATCTCTAGACTTTTCCGATGTGTGTATCTCAATAACAACACTTTTTATGAGTAACTTGGACGATTTTGCTTCTCCTCTCTGGATTTCCTGTTTCAGTGCACAGTAGCCCGTTTTCCCGCTTGATTGAAGGTTTCCATATGTTGCGAATCCCCACACTAGGCCGTCTACATGAGTTGTTAAAAATGTAATGTAACTAATGTTCATCCCTTGTGATTAATTTCAGCTGCGAATCGTTTGATGTAACCTTTATGGGTACAAACATGGTCTTATATTCCTGATTTACTATTTCCTCTTTGCTTGATATTTTCCTTTTGCTCGCTGATACGGACTCTCAACAGCCGCTTGATTTCATCTATAAAGAACTGACTGCTCCGGTAAATACAATTTTTGGATCTTGGATATTTTATGGATCTTGTTCCTGGTGTGTGAGCAGTTACGGTAACACAAATAATATAATTTAATGTGATTACTAATTGTAATGCACTGTTTGGAACTTTTGGTGTAGTAATGAATATTAGTGGAGTTTTATCTCAACACCAAATCGTTATTTTTAACACCTTGACGCGTGTTTTGATCACCAAGTGATCATCTTCAAGAGGAAGAATAAACAAAAACTATATTCAATGTTGTTTTTATTTAAACCATAAATACCTCTGCTAGGTACCTCCGTCTCAGTTGTCTTAAAACTAATTTTACAATGTTACTTTCCCTACTAGTCGAGTAAATCTAATAAATAAAAAAAATACTCATTTCCACAAGCTATCAAGTTAAATATTGGTATTGGTCCATTATCGTTATTCATAATATTATTATGTTGACTTATTTCTAATCCCTCAGTACTGACTAACTCTCCGGTTTGTTCTTCTAGTCTCTCCTGGTTGACGCGTTCCGCCACTTTGCTTACGGATGGCAGTAAGCCAACGAACCACCGGCCAATAAGCTTACTGCCATCCGTAAGCAAAGTGACGGAACGCGTCATCCAATAAGCTTACTGCCATCCGTAAGCAAAGTGGCGGAACGCGTCATACTGAAGAGACTAGAAGANTTTTGAAGATCTTCGTTAATAATGCTCACATGGTTTTCTATATCAGTCAAATCGCAAGGTGAATATAATTGAAAATCGTCGGCATATAGGTGAACTTGACAAAAGTTTAAACATGATGGAAAATAAAAAATGAAAATTACAAATAATAAGGGCCCAAGAATACTACCTTGGGGTACTCCAGAAATAGTCTCTTTAAGGGTTGAGCATAGCAGGCTATTATCAAGCGTTAATCTTTGTGATCCACCTCGGATATAGCTATTCATTAATTCCAAAGCTCTGTCGTGAAACCCTATGAATTTCAATTTCGCCAAAAGAAGCTGGAATTGACAAGATCGAAGGCTTTGCTTTGATCCAGGAGAAATAGGATCGACGGTATAGATTTATCACCATAAGTACGTATATCATTTATGACTTTCAATAGAGCCGTATGTGTACCATGTTTCGAACGAAAGCTAGACTGTACTTCTGGTAAGATACTATTGAAATCCAGGTATTGCCTGATCTGTAGAGAAAGTATTTTTTCAAAAAGTTTGGAAAATGTAGGTAAGATGCATATGGGACGAATATCATTAAAACTTTCAGGTTTTTTCTTTTGTAAACCTCTCATGCGTGGGAGGAAACGTCTGAAGACGATGCACTAGAACTCAACTCAGCACGTTAGTGCTATCTACAGTGATATGAACTGCCAGAAATATACCTGTAAGTGATTATTTCCTTCCTAAATACATCGTATTCTAGCTTCCCACATTCACTCCTCATTACCAAAACATCAAGAAATGGAAGTTATCCTTCATTTTCTAACTCAAACGTGAATGTCATTGATGGAAATCTGTTATGTCAAAAGCAAAAAAAGTCCTCAATATTCGATTTTTTGTTATAGAATATCGCAGAAATATCATTCACATACCTCAGCCATATACTAGGTAAATACGTTGACGTTTCTTTGGTTTCCATTTCGAATTTGCTCATGAACACGTTAGCCAGGTAAGGAGACAAGGGGTTGGTTACCCATAGCCGTTCCCTCCAGTTGTTCATAAAAGCAATCTTCTACCTAGAAACGGTTTCGTTTCATACATGAATTAGTGAGATAAATTGATTCTTCAATTTCGTTAGTACTGAAATTATTTTTCTCTAGTAATTCTCAGAGGTATTGTTGGAGTGGGGTAGTAGGTTCTCCTCGCTAACAAATGAGGGGGGAAGCTCCTACTTCAGGGCACTCAACCCGGGAAGGGGCATGGGGGGGAAACGGTTTCGTTTAATTAGTGAGATAAACTGATTCTTCAATTTCGTTAGTACTGAAATTATTTTTCTCTAGTAATTCCCAGAGGTATTGTAAGGTCTATGGAATTGGGACGCTAGGAAATTAGGAACTAACATAAATGAAAACTAAAATTCCACCTTCTTGCAGAATGATATTTTTGTATGTTGTATGATACTAAAACCTGGTACGCAATAGGCAAACTTTCAAATTCCTTAGTGAGTCATTTTGCTATTTGGTAGGTAGAAGATTCAATAGCTGACACGATAGGACGCATTGATTTTCCTGGTTTGTGGATGGGAGGCAATATAGTTTTGACACCATTGGGTCAAAATTTCATGAGTTCCGTTTCCGTTGGAGGGTGAAAATTTTGTTGAAATTTGAGGAAAATTTACGAGTGGAAAATGTCAGAAAGTCAAAAATGTCTCAGTATTTGAAAATGAGTTAGTTTATCAAGTCCAGTATCCAACAGTACCCAGTTTTCGTTTCTCAGTATACTTTTCTTCAATTATCCATACTTTCCAAATTCATTGAGATACCTTAAAATCACAAAAATTGAAAATATCCACTTTTCAAATAGTTTCGAAACAGCTTGTATATTTTCCTGACCTCTACGACCATTCACCATGATGAAGTAAATATTCTGAGGCATATCTGGGTATAAAACCACACGGCTCCTTGAGAATGCGTTGTGACTCACAATTATTGAATTCTTCAACTTATCGATCGGATATAGTAGGTACAGTATATTTATAAACGCAGTCAGTTCATCGTTTGACGGTTCCGTTGGTAATCATAATCAATTTGCCATGAATTCCTGGAAAATATGTTTATTTTCGTCAACCGAGCTACATTATTGAACTCCCAACTAAAATCGACCCTGCAAACAAAATCGACCGGTAGTTTGATTTAATTGTCAACAAGTAACATCGATAGGAAAGTATATGTTAACGCCAAGACTATTTTTTTCTAGTGACTGGCATAATCGAATTATTTTTATAGGGACGGTTGGGTATACAAATAGTCGTCAACTACTACTCTTTTTTTTATGTCCAGTCCTAGAGTTGATTTTCATAGTGATTAACGTAGAGTGAGCAGTGAGTTACAGACAGAGATATCTACTTATAGTAATGTCATACTTAGCATCGGTAGGCTTTGTCTATATGGTACGGGTCTACACCTGTTGGTACAGGTGGTAACATTGCCTGCGGTCTGAACTAAATTCAATTTCAAGTGAGAAGGATGATATTTTAAAAGAGTCTGTGCTTGGCTTCATATAGGGATCACGTAGTGGTGATTTGAGTGGAATCTGTGAGAATCATCCATCAGAATAAATTTCAACTTCTTGAGATATTCATAGATATCAATTTAAAAGTGGATTTTTTAACAACAATTTTTTTGTATTAAAGTTCTGCCGGGCAGAATTATGATGAGGATACAACCATAAGAAGCATACAATAACAAAAATATGAAAGCATCAAAACAGGAAAGAATTGGACACAAGGAGAAGTTCATTTTGGACATATCTGTCTACACTATAAAACATAGGTCTGAGGTGGCTAATGCTGAAGACTGCCGGAATCCCGAGTTCCAAGAATCAGATGAGTCTCTTTGGAGGAGTATAAACAGCCTTGAGTTTGCTTAACAGTTCTGGAAATAGGATTTCGGTCAG